CGAACCCGCGTCCCCTGCATCGGCAGGCGGACTCTCAACCACTGTGCCACCAGGGAAGCCCTGTCTCTTGCAACTTTTGAAGAGGACTGGCCAGCTACTTTCCAGGAGGTCCCTCAATTTGGGTCTCATTTTCTCTCTGACGGCTCATCCCAGAGAGGAGATGGAAGAGGCACTGCCGGTTCCTCTCCTGAGACCCAGGGGAAGATGTGAAGAACACTAGTTACATCTCACGTACTAACTGGGCCGCGTACCCTGCAGAAATCTGTTACTGACTTCAGAATGGGGAATTAAAAAACCGCCACCATCACACTGGGGAAGAGGAGCCGTTGTTCCCACACTAAACCCCTTCACTTACAGTTTGTCTGAATCCAGAGTTCGGAAGGTTATGGACCCCAAGTTCACATAAACCACAAAGAAACAGAAGTTTCCTAATAGCTCTAAGCAGGGCAGGACTTTAGGGAGAACCATTATGCTATGGCAGTAACAGCAGTTTCTGAGGTGCCAAAAGGGTTTGAGGTAATGGTTTTGAAGACTCAGAAGGGAAAAATTTTGTCGGTCAAAATCCAGCAAATGACGATCAAAGCGAGTCCCTGAAGGCACCACTGCATTTAAAAAGGGACGATGGGCTTCCCTGGTGGCGCAGTGGTTGAGAGTCCGCCTGCCGATGCAGGGGATACGGGTTCGTGCCCCGGTCTGGGAAGAAAATGGGAGAGGCCACAACAGTGAGAGGCCCGCATAACGCAAGAAAAAAAAAAAAAAAAAAAAAAAAAAAAAAAGGGACGAGAACCCCGAGTCAGTGCGACCCAGGAGTAGCAGATGTTCTCCAGGAATTATTTCACTGAGGTTTTCGACAACCCTGAGGGGAGGCAGGGTTCCGAGATGGGCAGGGCTGCTCGGAAGCAAAGGCGCTCGCTGCCCCTTAACTAGCTGAGGGACCTTAAGCACCCGAGACTTGGTCTCCTTGCCAGGTAAATGGGGATGAAAGAGCACCACTTATCTTAGACAACTCAAAACACATAAGCCACAGGAAGTGCTTGGCGTGCTGCCAGTATTAGGTGCTCAGACTTTTACTGCTACGATTTCTAAGAGAGATAGACATTTATTTAAGCTCTATCTGACGAATACAGAAAGTGGGTCTTTGAAAGGTCAAGGAGCTTGCCCCAGGTCGCCCAAAGCCAGGAAGGGGAGAGCTGTGCAGTGGTAGTGCTGCCTGAGCCCGGATACCGAACATGCACGCTCAGAGGATGGAAGGAATCAACACATGTGGATGCTGGTGTAATGTGTCGGCAGCTCACAGAGCTCCAAGCGATGAAAGGAATTCGCATCTAGTATCCTTCAATTATATATAATCAGGTTCTGGAAGTAAAGATAAGGAATATGATTCTAAGCTCAGAGGTAAGAAGAAAGGACCCAGTAACTGAGGCATTATGAAGCAAAAAATACCATGTGAACTCCGCCGTCACTCGACTGAAAGCAGTCAGTTGAAGGCGGGATCATATAAAGTTAACCATAATCCTCTAATGCACATCGGTGAAAACTTAGTTATCCACAACGTCCATAGCAGCATCATTCACAACAGTCAAAAGGTATCAGCCAACCCAAGTGCCCACTGATGGATGGATGGATGGATGGATAAACAAATGTGGTCTATACGTACAATGGAATATGGCTCAGCCATAAAAAGGAACGAAAATCTGGCACAAGCTACAACACGGATGAACCTTGAAAACATTGGGCCAAGTAAAATAAACCAGATACAGCAAGGCAAATATTATATGATTCCACTTATGAGGTACCTAGAATAGGCAAATTCACAGAGACAGAAGGTAGAATGGTGTGGTTGCCAGGGGCTCCAGGGGGGAGAAATCATTTAATAGGTACAGAGTTCATATTAAGGTCAACAAAAAGATTTTGGGTATAGACAGTGGTGATGAGGACACAGCAATCTGAGTATAATCATTCCCAGTGAGTTGTTTACTTACAAATAGTTAAAACAGTAAAACTGTGTCATGCATCTTTTACCACCCAAAGGGAAAAAAAAAAAAAATCAGTTGCCTAAAGGCAGGCTACCACGTGACTTGGCATCATGTTTCAAGAAAAACAGTAAAGTTGTACCAACACAGTAAATACGGTATAATAGCCTTACTGATATATATCTAGTATATACATCTAATTAAACACATGCATGTTTAAGAAGAAGGGTCGCCAGCTCCCCACGACCGCCCTCCCTGACGTACTTGTTGCAGTGGTGCTTCAGGTGCTTCTTGTAGCTGTCCTCCTGGAACAGGGCATCTGGGTTGCAGCCGGCCAGCCAGTCAGCGTCCTGCACCACCGGGTGCGAGCTCTGGGCTTTCACCTTTTTGCCCTTCCGCCCCCTGGGCACCGGGGCTGATAAACCTACAAGCAGAGTAGTCATGATAACCATAGCAACAGAAGCTCTCCACGACCCCGGTTATGGCGTCAGGGTTAGGAATCTCCGTGCAAGGCAGGGACACACGGGGTCTGGGACATGTCCCGAGCGTCCCTGGCAGCTCCCTGGGACCCCGCCGCACGAGACGCGACGCCGACCCACCGGAATGGTTGACCAGGGCTCGCGTCTGGCCATCGGCCGTGGGCGTGATCAGATCCCAGATGAAGCTCTTGATGTTCTCGTCCCCCCGGTAGTGGTTGAGGCAGTACACGAGGATAGTCCTGCAGATGGTTTCCACGTCCTGCTCGCTGAGCGGACGCTTGTAGCGGCCATGGGAAAGGATGTCTGTCCAGCGCCCCCAGCTGCAAAGCAAACATTCACATGCAGAGGGTGCCTCTGGGTTTAGACGTGCGGCTTTGGTTTCATGGTCAGGCGGCAGTGTTAGGAGAGCCTGGGTCAAAACTAGCGACATCTGACATCAGGTTATAGTGAGGCAATCCAGGGCGCTGTTACCACCCGGCCGCGTGTTCACTGCGCCGCCGGGCGGAGGCTGACACAGGCCTTCCCAGCTGAGACCTGGAAACCCCCTGCTCCACTTCACGTGGGCATGGTTCGTACTTTCCGGAGCTGACCCACCGTTTGAGATGGAAGGTGACGGGAATGACTACCCCCAAATCAGGGATGCACGCGGCTAAAGGTGCAGCTGCATCTATTCACCTCCAAGGGACGCCCCGATAATTAATGAGAGGCCATGAAAGGTCTCCCTTTGAAACAGGGGTGCTAGGTGCCAAGTATAAGAGCGCTCCTAGGTCCTTGTGTGAAACGGGGGGAGAGAGGACCGTGGACAGACCTACGCGTGCAGTGCACAGGCAGACGCTGCGTAAGTGTGCCCTCCCCGGGTTCCAGGCGCTCAGGGCAGGAACCAGCCTCCACGCGAGGGGCACAGTTCGCCCCGCAGCCCCGCCTGGTCCTCCCAGCTTCAGAGAAGTTTCCCCAGTTCCTCAAATCGCCTTCGGACACACGGCTCTTTCTGCTGGGAACTGTTCTCCCCCTCCCTGCCCGATGACGTCCCACCCTCCCTCTTACCCCAGCTAATTCATGATATCCATTCACGCACCTTCTTTGATTCCCCACCCCCCACAGTGGGCAGACAGCCCCGAGCTGCATCTTAGAGAGGACGTGCCTCTGCCCCACTGGCATGTGAGGACCTGTGCAGCTTCACCAGTTTACTGCCCTTTCTGCTGGTTCACATGCCTGCCCACCTGCCCCCGGGGTGGAGGGGGGGGGCGCCGTAACCACCTGCTCATGGCCGTGTCCTAGCACAGTGCCCTGCAGGTGGTAGGTGTCCAACACACCTGATGGCCGTGGGAGGCGGGAAGGGCGTTACTGAAAGACAGATGTCCTAAGCATACTGCTTAGCTTCAGCAGTTATTAATGTTCCGTTTCTAAAGTTAGCAGCAACGTTCTCAACTTTGATCATTAGGGTGAAACATGGAAGCAGGGGAAGCAGCAAAGGGCTCGGTAGCTAGGGGTGGCCAGGAAAGAATGCCCGGCTTGCAGAGATGACGATGAGAGGTGACACAGCTGCCGAGACACAGGACCGGCTGCAGTGGAACCTCCTTTACTGCATAAGCAGCCACTGACCCAGCACTCACCGTGGCTACGGGCCCCGCACTCTGCCCCGAGGACACGAAGAGGGAGCCCTGGTCCTCACGGAGCCCTTCACCAGGGCTCCAGCAGGAGAGGCTATCACCTGACATGCCGAGTGTGACAGCAAGTGCAGGGAGACCCTCTGGGGCAGGTGCTGAGGTGATGCCTGCTCAGAGGTCAAGGGCAGGAGATGGTGGGCGGGCAGGGCTGCATGTGGAAACAGAGGGAGCAGCGCACACGGCAGGAGAAGAAGCCTCTGTCCCAACAGCAGCCCGGGGTGCCCGCGGAAAGGACCCACGAGACAGACAAGGGCCAGGTAGGAGCCCTGTCTGCCACGTTAGCAGAATGTTTGTGTTTCTTATGAAACGAATGATGAGCCATCGGAAGAAAAAAAATCACAGAGCAGATGTCGCCAGATCTATAGAAATATTGTTTCGGTGGCAGTTTTTTCACTTGAGTGGCATTCGCCTACAGTCCCACCATGTGCCAGAGCACGCCTATTTACGAATCCAGATGCTCACCGAGCACCTGCCTTTCAGAGCCCTGTGTGGGTGCCGGAGGTTCAGATATGGGACAGATGTGGATCTTGTGGTCCAGTAGGAGAAACACGACCCATTCAGAGAGTTGAAATGACCACCATTTATGTTTCAGATGACTTGGAAGAGCTATGTAAGTTGAGACGATTGCCTTTAACAAGTTTTTATAATGGAAAAATAATGAAAGATTACCACAGTGGTAAACTTTATGTGAAGGTACACTAGGAAAAGAGGTGGTTATTCTGAGACTTCGTTCTGAGTTATTAATGATTAGCAAGTCAATTTGGATCTGACATAATTCCTTAAGGGGCAAACCCCCTTCGAACCCGTGAGGATCTGCACAGCTTTCAGCTCTTTAACCAAGAGGCCCCAGGCCTGCCCGGGTTGCGTCAAAGGCATTTGCTACGGGGAGTCACAGAAATCCAAACACAAATAGGGTTTTCCTCCGCCACTTGGAATTCTAACTATTTTTCGAATAAAAGTCCATCTCTCACATGAGCCTGACTCACCCATAGACAAGCAGGTTCTTCTCTACTCTGAAGCACTCGCTCCTGGCATAGCCCTGGGACCTGTCCTGCGGCCGCCGTGGCTTCGTGCAGGGCTTCTCTTCAGAATCGCTCTCCAGGTCTGAAAATTCCATCAGCTCATCCTCCTTCACTGCACTGTACAGCCTGGTCTGCTTCCTGACTCTGGGAGTGTCAATAACCAGGTTGTTCTGAAAGACAGCAGATACATTGGCAACTTCTGAAAAAGCAACCCCTGGGGGAGATCAGGCAGACCTCTCACTCACCCTCCCATTTAAGGCATCAATATCCAATTCCGCCTTCTTAGCCCACTTTTGCCAGAAATTTGGATCATCCAAGGAAATATCTGTCCTGTTTCCAGATGCAACAAAACTGGCCTAAAAGGGAAAAACACACGCATTACTTTGAGATGCTTTTCTCAGTGTCAAAATGCAAAGCAGTTTTCACATATTCATTCACTCGAACATGGACCCATCCTTCTACCGTGAGCCAGAGGCTGTGGTCCATGGGACTGGGATGAAGGACTGTCCTTCAGGCAGCTCACTGTCCAGGGGTTGATGAAAGATGATAAAATAAAAGATGACAGCACAGCACAGTAAATGACAGGCAACAAAGGTACGAACAGGTGTAGCCGATATACAGAGAGGAGCCCTAACCAGGCTCAGGTTGGGTGCGGGTACAGGGAGGGCACTGCTGGGAGGAGAGAACAGGCCCTCCAGAATACGGTGCCTGGACCAAAGTGTTAAAAGCCCACAGAACAGGAAAGTATGTGGAAACGTTCAGGGCGGGGCATGTGCAAAGGCACAGAGAAGAAAGGTGATCACGTCATACGGCTGGGGATTTGGGTGGTCAGGGGAGTGTAGCCCAAGGTCAAGCTGGTGAGGAGCCAGAAGCTGGGTCAAGCAGGGCCTTGCATGTCCTGTTAACAGAGTCTGAACTCCATCCTGAGGTAGTGGGGAACTCTTTGAAGATGGAAATGATCTCAAGAGGTATGCGACCATATCCAGAGTCACCTGCGAGAGGGATCACAGCGGTGTCCTGGAGCAGGGAGGGCAGAACAAAGTAGGACAGGCTGCGGCCACAGTTTAGGGAGGAACAGTGAAGACCGGCAGAAATGAAGAAAAGGATACAGTCTAGAAGGTAGTCTTTAAGAGGTAAAATTAAGGGAGTTGGAATCCGAGTGGATGTGAAGCCTGAGGGACGAGGAAGCCAGGAAAACCTCAGCACCCAACTCTGGCATCTGAAAGGTGTGGCTCAGGTGAAAAAACAGGGGCATGTGCGTGTGTGTACATGCACACGTGTGCAAACAGAGGGTGGAGGAACAGGGATGATTAATCTGCTTTGGTACCTACTGAATCTGAGGTGCCTGTGAGGATGGAGGAAAGAACCTGAAAAGAGGCTGAAAGATGTGAGGGAGAAGGTGTTGGGGCACAGAGCCCAGAGGAGGAGAGCCTTTCAAGACCTGGGACAAGTGGAGTAGCTGGGACAAGTGGAGTAGCTGGGACAAGTGGAGTAGCTGGGACAACTGAAGTAGCTGAAGTAACTGGATATCTACATGCAAAAGGAGGGAGCTGGACCTCTGTCTCACATCACACACAAAAATTCACTCAACAGGGATCAGAGACATAAAGTTAAGAGTGAAAACTACAAAACTCTTAGAAGAAAACACAGGAGCAAATCTCTGTGACCTAAGGTTAAACAATGAACCAAAAGCACAAACGATAAAAGAGAAAATGGGTGGGCTTCTTAAAATTAAACACCATTAGGAAAAGACTAGGAGAAATATTTGCAAATTATCTGATGAGAAACTTTTATCTGGAATTCTTAAAGTTCAATAAAAAAGACAACTCAAAAGAGTTCAGAGTTGTTCAAAAGATTTGAATAGACATTTCTCCAAAGATTTTATATATATATATATATATATATATATATATACATGGCCAATAAGAACATGAATAGATGCTAAACAGCAGCAGAGAAACGCAGATCAGACCAGAGTGGGCTACCACTTCACACTCAGTAATAGGACGATAATCAAAAAGTCAGACAACGAAAAGCGTTGGTGGGGATGCAGAGAAATTAGAACCCTAAACACTGCTTGTAGAAAGGGAAAGTGGCACAGTCACTTTAGAGAAGAGTCTGGCAGTTCCTCAAAGGATTAAACACAGAGTTAACGTACGACCCAGTAATGCCATTCCCGGTATATATGCAAGAGAAATGAAAACATATGTCCACAAAAAACTTGTTCACAGATGTCTGTAACAACAGTATTCATAATAACCAAAGAATGGAAACAATCCAAATTTCATTATCAGCTAGTGAATGGATCAACAATCAATGTCCATTATCAAGTGGTAAATGAGGTATAACCATAGAATGGGATATTGTTCAGCAATAAAAAGGAATGCCTGATGCGTGCTACAACATGGATGAACCTCAAAAACATGCTGAGTGAGCGAGGCCAGGCACAGAAGACCACACGTTTTATGATTCCACTTATATGAAATGTCCAGAGCAGGCAAACCTCGAGAGACAGAAAAGAAAGCAGTTGAAGGGTTGCCAGGACTCAGAGGGGGAGGGGACGGGAGGCGGGGTGGGGGGATTGTTACTGGGGTGATGGAGACGTTCTAAACTTAAGACGTGGGGATACTTGTACAAGTCTGTGAATACGGGAAAGGCACTGAACGGTACACTTAAAGTAGGGGAATTTTGCGGTAAGTAAATTCCATTTCAATAGAGTTGTTAAAAATGAAAGCGTGGCACTGGGCCTGGGTGTGGATGGGGGAAGCCTCAGAAGGGGCCCCGGGCGGAGGGGATGGAGTGGAGAGGTGAGGGAGGGGTGGAAGCTGGCAGCTGGGAAATTAGCAGAAAGGGAGGAAGGGGAGAGAGCTGCGTAGATAACGCTTGTGTGGCTCCTCGCTGCGAAAGAAGAGCTGCGGGCTTGTAGCCAGAGCGGAAAACAGATGGGGTCTTCTTCAGATGGGGGTGAGCTGACTGGTCTGAAGGCCGTCAGGGGTCAGGATCACAGGAAAGGGGGGAGAGGGTGACGGAGCAGAGGCTCAAGAAGCAGAGAGGGCGGGGCCGGAACACTGGTAAAGGACGAGCCTGGCGAGGCGGGAAGCGTGGCCAGGACAAGGTGAGGGTGACCCCGAGGCCTGGTACAGAGAAGAGAACCCAAAACACAACGAGTGCTTCGTGCATCGGGGGCTCCATCGAGCGGGAGTTAATCACTAATCTCGTAACGTGCAACGTAACGCAGACATTACGTGTGCTTCCCGTGAGCGCGTGACACAAACTCTGTTCCGCTGCCACAGAACACCCGCCGCTTGGAATCGATCCGCACCTTAGCAAACGTGGAACCCTTTCCCTCAGACTCGATGGTGATGGTGTGGGTTCGCCGGAGGAGAATCTGGTCGATATCTTCTTCGCAGAATTTAGACCCTTCGTCCTCCTCATCCATGAGGGCACCATAGGCCCCTTTCCGGAGAAGATCCTCTATTTCTTTCTTGGAAAGCTGTTGTACCTGTTTTAGAGAAATATTTTTAGAATTGTCTGTAGACTGAACAAATGATTCATCTTTCTCAAAGAGGGCAGACCTTAATGACAAAAAAGGAAAGTGTGACAAAATATGCTTAAAATATCAAGGCCAAAAGATAATCAGATGCTGGAAAATTTCTCAGTATAAGCTAAATAATGGAGCGAGAGTGAATGCACGGTGTGGGCAGCGCGCTTTACCCCGTTGGGAGCGTTTTCTCTTCCGCTCATGGACTGCAGGACCGCTTTATCCAGACCGAGCTTCAAGCTAGCTTTGTCGAACATCTCCCTCTCGTAAGAATTCCTTGTAATCAGCCTGTAGATTTTCACAGATTTGCTCTGTCCTATTCTATGACACCTAGCCTGAGCCTGGAAGAGAAAGGAAATGAATGGCTACCAAAGAAAGAAAAGACTCGACTGTCAGTTATAAGAGCATCTGTTCCAATAAACAGGGGTGCAGTTTAACAGAAGAGGGTTAACACACTAAGAAATTACTTTCACATTATTAATAAATTGATTACTAGTTGGTTCATTTGCCCCAATCACGGGACACTGCCTGAGCGACTACACGATTTTAATTTATTGGTCTGACATCGCAGAACGACTTTCAAAGGTGGGAGAGGGAGGCATCGGGGAGATTTTCTTGCATGTTTACCTGGAGATCATTTTGGGGATTCCAGTCGGAATCAAAGATGATGCAGGTATCAGCAGCAGTAAGATTAATGCCTAAACCTCCTGCCCTTGTACACAGGAGGAAAACAAACCTATCAGAGTCAGGTTTGGAGAACCTGTCGATAGCTGCCTGGCGGAGGTTCCCTCTGACCCGGCCGTCGATCCTTTCGTACGGGTACCTAGAAAATGTCAGCGTTAACAGGGAGGCCTGACGAACGGCCAAAATACGCTTTTCCTTTTTTGCTGTTTTAAAGAAAGTACTATAATATGGGATATATATTAACAGGATGGTATTATTTATCAGAAATAATTTCAGAGCAAATAGGTGTTGTTGTAGTTTTTCATGCAACTGGTCGAATGTCCCAAAGATTAAAGTTCCTTCTACTTTCTCTCCAGTGAAATACCTAAGCTCTGAAAAGGGCTGACACCTCCAACAGTGAAACAACAAACAATTTCAATTTTCGGTAAGAACTGTTCTCCCCTAGCCAAAGGAAAGAACTGGAAAGCAGAACTGCCCACAAAAGCACGTGTCGCATGGAACAGCCGTCACGCCCATCTATAGCTTTTAAAAAGAGGTGTGACACACATCCCCTACTCCGTCCCCTTTACTATAAATGCCACTTCAAGGGACTTCCCTGGCGGTCCAGTGGTTAAGACTCCGAGCCTCCACTGCAGGGGGCACGGGTTCGATCCCTGGTCAGGGGGCTAAGATCCCGCATGCCGTGCCGTGTAGCCAAAAGAATTATAAAAAAAAAAAGCCCACCCCCCCCGCCCCACGCCGCTTGGAGGTGAAGCGCGTGGAGCCCCGTCTTCTGACCCCAGCTCGCCGCCCCCGTGCGTGGCCCTCACCGTCTCTGAATGAGGTAGTCTTCCAGGATGTCCAGGCAGCGCACCATCTGGGAGAAGATGAGCACCCTGTGGCCGCCGGCCTTCAGCTTGGGCAGCAGCTTGTCGATCAGCACGAGCTTCCCAGCAGCCTGGATCATCGCCTGGAGCTGAAAATCTGCGGAGTCGGCGTTGTGTGCTTCTTTAAACTCTTCCAAAATCTTCTCCTCAGCACCTGTAGAGATTGGACAACAGCATAACGGGAATCCTGTAACATTCTGTTACAGTGTGGAATACTGTTTTTAGTAGTAAAGACAGTGAACCTGCTTTCAAAACCCACTGCAAACTGTAAGGGCCGGGAGGCCGCGCTCGTGTTTATGAACACACGTCCGTCCACTGGCTCCAAGGAGGGTCTACACAGAACCGTGGAAGTACAAAAGGGATCAAAGTTTTAGGCGCAGCACATTTAGGCGTTTGTGTGTGTGTGGGGGGGGGGGAAGCCCCTATATTTTCCAACAAACAAATGTTTGCTGTCTGTAGAAACTGAATTTCAACAACAGACTGTCAAGCCAGAAGTGGCAGAAACAAGCCAAGGGCCAGATACCTACAGAAAATTTGGAACCTAAAATGCTAAAGAAAGGAAGAACTGTTTACTAGCTGAATATAAACACAAATAACAGAATCTGTTCTGAAACGAAGAGACAAGGGAACAGGGTTCTAACAGTTATGGTGCAAGGGCATACGTCTCTGTATCCAACTGCACATTAGTACAGCCAAAAGGGCTGCCGACAACAGGAAGCCCATTTTTCAGGGTCATTTTAGGGATTTCTCAGGGCGCCTGAGCACATCTCTACTGCGGTCTCTGCAGCTCCCTCCACGTTCATTCTCAACTGATGAGTTCCTAAGGTACAAAAATTCTACCCTGAATTATCCAAGGCTTTAAAAAAACAAAAACCAACCTCTGTTTCACGAAAGACTTCTATACCTAACCCTCTTTTTCTCATCGGCCCACAAGAGACCTCTGCTTGCTCTAAGACCTGGGTGCATCGGAGAGAAGCCTGGAGAGAGACGCACCTTCCCAGGGATGGAAGCCCTTCCACCTCCTCCCCTGACCCTAGATGTGCTGGCTCAGGGAGCAGCAGGCTGAGCTTCCTGCAGCCGCTTAGGTGGCTTAACTAGAATTAGGCAGCAGAGGTTCGGCCGTGCTGACGGAGGGGGGGGGGGGG